TATGCAGAGAAACTTTGATTGTGCTCCGAGGCCTTCAAACCGAACCGCCCCTTACTTTGGGCAACTCCGTACAGACCAGCTAATTGGACATTTTAAATAGCATAACCTAGAAAGATAATGCGCCTATATCTGTCCACTTAAATCTGCCTGAAGAATACAATCACAGAACAACGGGCATACAAAATAACTCAACGCTGACTTTGGCGAAGCGACAACACATCCAAGGTATGACTTGTTGCTTAGGAATATGATACAAAGAGGTCATGTCACCAGATGACACATAAACAACTTTAAGAGTTACATATATTCAAGTTTCCTGTATCGAATCTATATGGTGTCTTTGTTTTGCCTTCTTCTTGGCAAGCTTTGGGCCTGCCAGCCATTCCCCTCTTAATTATAGTTTGATGGGCAATGTAAGGGGGGGAGGACACAAGTGTCAAATTCAAAGAATGATGACCGAACAAGTCTGCGCCTATTAAAGCAACCAGCAAGCACTGTTTGGGCAATTCAAGAAACTACATCTGGAAAACAAGAGTGTATCTTTACTTTACTTACAAAAATATCCGCTTCCGGTTGGCCTGGAGTGCATGGCAATTACATCAATTCCCCACGATATGCTGATCTAACAGCTTCAGGGTTGCCTTCAACTGCACTGACGTTCACAGGGAAAGCCTACACCGTTACTTTGTATACGGTGCCTGTAATGCGTTTAATGAAACAGAAAAGGTACAGTGATGTGGCTTGGGAAATCAAGTGGGACTACGTAAACTAGAACGTATTGTTATTGTTGTTTTACACAAGAAAGGGGAAGCACACCCCATTATTTTTAGATGACAGGATCAAAACTCCACAGTTTCACACTAGTTTCTGCTCAAACACAGTATCCTGTTATCGTCCACCCACACACAGGACCACTGCACTGCTTGATAAGGCTGTTTGTGGGCGTGGCTTTGTGTCACACTGGCGGCTTTGCTCTTGCTCGTCAATCAAGCAAACTATGGAAAAGAGAGCCCAGAGGCCAAAATAAAGACCTGGAAATCACATGAAACTGTCAACTCGCCATGTAATCATCTGTCCTGTCCAATTTTGCGTTTGAAAGCAAGGTAAAAGAAGTGTGTTTCCGCAAACAAGTTTCACAACAAAGCACGGGATAATGATGTGTTGTTTCTACATACGACAGCAAGCCAGCCCCTTGGTGTTTTTAAAATCACAAGGCACACTTTCAGCTAGCAGTGTGAACTGAGCTCAACAACACACACACAACCAACACAAACATGTTCTTCAATATATAGCTTCTTTCGGGTATGGTATAAATGTGGGCTTTCAATAAGCAGGAATGCTATAAGCCCAGCAAATCTTCCCTAACCAAATCAATATAGGGCCTACACAGAAAGACTTGTCCAAAAAAACGTTAGCCTCAAGAATAACTACCAGTCGACTTAGAGGCTGTTAATGCTGCTAAAGTACCACTGTCCCTCGCTCTAACATGGGTCACTGTGCAAACAGAAAGCAACACGAGAACTCAGACTGACCCACAACATGTCTAGTCTGTAAACTATTTAATCTGCTAACAATATGAGATTATGAAACACACTGTCTGCAGTTTAGTGACTACTGGCAGGTCCCTACGATGTTGAAACTACCAGCAGTCAGTTGACTAGGCATCATGTCCTGTTGACTTTTGTAATTTTTAGTAGCTTCAATTATAATGGCATTCCAGCACAGTTGTTTTAAATCTTTGATATTCAGATATAACATGTATGTGCAGATAAGCAAACCGGAGAGGAATATTACAGGAGGGTGCGGCAAAACCATGAAACGCGTCCCTCCGAGGGCCTTTTCCAAACTGGGTCAAGTACAAGCATACACAGTGGATCCCACATAATATTAAGTTCAGCTTGGTTTGAGTATCGCCTTCACACGGAGGTGACTCATATGGTTTTCATGACACTGAGCCGACAACTGGTTCCAGCCGTTGATAGAGCCGAGTGCTGCGGTGAAAATCCAGAACGCTCCCAGCACAATCGGATGTCTGAGACGGATTTGTGATACATGTGAACGGTGGTGCCAAAAATAGCTCCAATGACTGACAACATGGTGGGCTCAGGGAAGGTCACAAGTAGAACATGATGTGAGCAGATCACTGGCTTGCATAAGCAGCAAATTATTCCCAAAGTAGGACGGTTATCACAGGGTTTGTGGGCGTAGAAATCGCACATAATATTAAATATACGTTATTTATCAATTTTAATTGAAGTATGTTGAAGAGTGAAATCATATATTTGTTTGTTCTTTATGCCAAATGACATGGTCCCCCTGAATTCATAACAATAACACATACTAACTCACATTTCTTAGAAAATCAGATGTCAATCGGATCTGAATATTGCGGGTTTGTTCTTTACAAACCTGTGTATGGCTGGAAATATGCATTTATTTTGTGTCATATAATTTCAATGAACATGTTAATACGGATAAAGATATATATTGGTATCAGCAGAGAGGACCTAGAAAATGTGTTGAGTGAAGTAAAAAGGGCCTTGTTCACAAACACAACAGTTTACAGTAAACTACTATGTAATATTGGAACGGATTCTAGGGCGTTCACGTATTAGAGACAAAAGCTTTAGAGACTAATGGCCGCATTCCACGTGCAGCGGTAAGCACGGTTGAAGCGGCCGTGCCAAACCCCGGCGCGTTTTTGTTGCGTTTCCATTAGGGGTAGTTCCGGATAACGGGTACTGTTTCACAGTTTTTCTGGCTCTCCAAAATCCAGGTTCTTTCCGGGCCAACAACCGGGCTGAATATGCTAAACTAGTGAGAGAATCGCTGGCAAGGGGGCTAAAACTACAACAAAATGAACATATTTTACCGTGATTTAAGAGTAATACACGTTTCAAAATGATGCCGAAGTAACAACATACTGATACCGGTTAGTAAAAACCATGAATTAATGCTTTGACAAGTCTGCAGACAGACGGCAGGCGAAAAACCTTTTAAAATGGAGATTGGCTAAGCTAACGTTGTATATGCTCCGACCGTCCACACTCACAACAACGGCATACAGACATAAATAAACCAGTGACTGTATTCGCCATGACACAGACAGTCAGTGGTTTTTACTTGTTTAACTTTTGTCTAGTTTCTGAACAGATATGAGGAGCTGTGAGCTCTGAGTGCTAACAGCTAACGGCTGATGTTTGGTTTTGTGTTTCGCATTGAAGATGACGTCACGGCTCCGCCTACACTGCGTTACTATAGTTACTGCCCCAGTTCCTTAACTGTAATGGAAACGCAGCATTTAGTGAGCCTGGCCTACCAAGGCCTAACTATACCGTGCTAAGCCATGCGAGGCCCTGCAGTGGAAATGCGCAATAAGTGAATTGTGAGTTCTGTGATTGCATTTTCCATATTTTATATGATACATGTGTTTATGTTTCAAGGGTCCAAACGATGAGGGTGAATAGATATATTGGAATGATGCTGCACAAACAGCTCAAGTCAGACTAATGATAAAAGGTTACGCAAATACAAATCTACTTTTTCTTTCAGAGTTTAGGAAAACAACTGGACCGTGCCCATAAAATATTTGTAAAATGTGGAAGAAGACCCCTCATATTTATGTTTGCTATCTCTCATAGGGCATGGATCAACTGATTCTTTGTTGACACCCAAGGTTTGCAATTGTACACTTTAAACTCACAAGTTACCAAGACTCCAAAATAAAAGGACCTGTGGGGAAACAATTTAACACCTGGCTCTCTCTGACAGGTCCGGGAACTGATAATGTGACCCTAGACCCCCGCTTCAAATAGCTTCAATGTTGCTGGGCCCAAACAAGCATGTTATAAAAATACATATTGTGAAATAACCTGTGATCTTAAATGCTGAGAGAAAAAAGTAAATTCACTTTACTTCTGATTTATATTACAAAAACTATTGAGTGTTTTGGTGGGTGTGACCTATTGAAGTTCATTTGAGGTGATGAGCAGAGCCACACAGGAGCAGAACTGTAGGCCAAGCCTCCATATGGAGCCATTTACTGTACATGGTGTTAATAAACAATCTATGAACAGATATTCTGACAATGAGCGGCATCTAATAGAACTGGTTTCAGAGTGAAATACAGAGAGGATGAATGTGCTGCCACACCTCATCTCACTGCCAGAGTTCTGGGTATATAACGCCAACACAAGGGAACCAAGGCTATCTATATCGGTGTCTGATCTCAAAGTCAGACCAGCTGCTCCAGGACGCATCAGTGTGACATAAATTGAATTTTTGTGTAATCCTTTAAAGAATGCATCTGTATGAAGGCATTCATTTTGTTGTTTTAAAATAGAAGTAATAATTTATACAACTTCACAATCCCTTTAATATTGAGTGACACAGCAGGGCCACATGCCATGACACATCACAGCAGAGTGCACAAATCGTCCAGCAGTTGCTTTTTTACTAATCTGGGGGGAGCGGGTGGCATTAGGGGCCAAATGTCACTGGAAAGAAAGAGACATGTGGAAATAATAATGTGCGGATCAGAATGTCAAACCGTGCACTGCTCTGTCATAAGGGCTCATTAATAAGACAAGATGAAAAGAAAGAAAGATCTTGATAATAAAGATTAAAAACCAACCGACGAGAAATACTAAATCTTAAACCCACAAAGGGTTCAAAATTCTTCCTCCTGTGTTCAGGCTTTCTTAGAAATGAATCATGATGAGGTTACAAAAAGGCCTTAGTCAGACTTTCTTTGGATCTTCACATAGACTTGAGATATTCCGGGGCACAGGAAATCAAAAAGTGTAATAGATGTTT